ATTTTGTCCTTCTGTCCTGGGTTTGAGTGAGTGGTGGGGTTTTTGGTAGCAGGGAAGGGGGCTACAGCAGTGGCCCCCTGTGAGAAGTTTCTCGGAGCTCCGCTGACTCCAAGGTGGACCCACCTCTGCATGAAGGTGGAGCCAATCAGCTGTGCCTCTGTGATAACATATTTAAAAAGGGACCTGGGAGGAGAAGTGGTGACATCTGTGTGAACACCAAGGTCAGCAGAGAAATGGAGGAAGAAAGGAGGGGGGAGGTGTGCTGGAGCAGAGACCCCCCTGTATCCTGTGGTGAGACAGCAGGGCGGCCCCCCCTGCCACCCATGGAGATCTACGGTGGAGCAGACACCGATTTATGGCCTGTGGGGGCCCCATATGCCAATTAAGATGGTTCCACCTGAAGGAGGCCGGTGGGAAGAAGCAGCTCGTGGCTGTTGTAGTTCAGCGCTGGGAGGATTGCAGCATGTGGGGGTGTCCCATGCCAGAGCAGCTCGGGAAGGGCTGCAGCTGTGGGAGGGACTCAAGTTAGAGAAAATTTATGGAGGACTGTCTGCTGTGAGAGGAGGACCACTCTGGAGCAGGGGGAAGAAGTTCCAGAAGCTCCCCCTCCAAAGATGGAAGAAGCAGCTGCACTGGTTGCACCTCCTTTTCCCGCCGCTGGGGGAGGAGGTAGAGATATCAGGAGCAGAGCTGAGCCCGGGAAGAAGGGAGGGGTGGGGGGAAGGTGTTCTCAAGATGTGGCAATGCTTCTCACTGTCCCACTCTGTTAAGTGTTATTGTTAGTGTCTGTAATAAATCCATGTTCTTTTTTTCTTCCCCTAATGAGCCCGTCTCTTGCCCATGACTGTAATGGGTGATTTATCCCTCCCTGTCCTATCTCAAATCCCAAGCCTTTGCTTATTTTCTCTTTCACAGTGCTGGGGGGGAGAAGGAGGGCATGAGCAACCGTGTGGTGCTCAGTTGCCCTCTGAGTTCAAACCATGACACCTTCAGACCTAGAGGAGACCAGCAATGGGCGAAGAAAATTCCTGCATGCAAAGAGCAACCTTCAGTACTCTGCCTTATAGGCTGACACCTGTCCTGTTCACATCAACACATGGCCTCAACACCCTCCATGCCTTTGTGAGAGTCTATCAACTTATGGCGTCTGCACATTCCCTACTCTGGCTACTCACTAGGAAATGAACTCGGAGTGGTAAAAGTTATCCACACAGCCAGCGTAAGATGGGTGTGCAATGGCATCTAACAGCCGTTATTCCTGACCAGGGATTGTCATAGGCATCATCAAAAGATTCAGCAGCTTAACGTAACTTGTCCATCTGTGCCCTAAAGGACAGTCCATGAGACACTATTTGCCTTAATTCTGCACAATAAGATGCAATACATACATAAATTCTCAGTAGGTCCAATTGACTACAGATGCCACTCCAACCAATGGTCTCCTCTAGGAATTCTTCCCAGCAGTTGCCCACCTCTCTCCCAACTCACTTTTGCCTCCAAGTAACTAACAAGCCTAGGCATCTGATGATATACAGGTGGAAACCATACCATCCCTGCAATCAAACAAAACCCTTGCAAGAAGAAAGTAGCTGTTTCTGAGGGTCCTTCTGTCATTCTGAACCCTCTCCTTGTTCTGTGAGACACCCCTTGTTAACCTAATCCCTTAATTATCTCCCCACTGACACCACAGGTGTCTTTCCATCACAAGAGACACGCTGCAGCTTGACAGGCTGCTTGACAATACAGCCTTTGGTCCTTTGAGATCTAACCCTGAAGGCTCCAGTGCAGTAGAGGTGACCACACTACCATGGAAACCAGAGAAGTCTTGCCACCTCAGCTTTTCTCTTCTTTACCTTTAGGTCTGATGTTCCAGCTCAGTCCTTCCTGGCTTTTCCTTGTTTAACTGCTTGTGGCTTTTCCAGGAAATATTCAAAGCCAGTTTTGACTTCTAATTTTAAAGGAACAAACAACTTCATGTTCTGTATACTTCTGTGTATTCCTTTTCTTTTTACTCTCTCACATGTGCCTTTGAAGTAGAAGTGATTCTCAGTATTTGTTGGTTTGCTTCTGTCACAGGCACTGTATCACTGAGCTACTAGTGCTCTTTAGTATTACAATAAACAGGGATTTAAATAATAAAAATAATATATTTGGCTTTCACTTGTTATTTTTATACTATCTTTTAAACATATACTGCATCTCCCAAATCAAGTCCCTACTGAAGCTGGCTTGGATCCAGAGTCTACTAAAAATGGCAGCTTCATCTGCAGAGAGGGTGAGTCAAAACTGCAATCAACTGTCATTAGCACAGGACTCAAAATGTTAGCGTTTTCCTGCCATAAGGAACTTCCTCTTTCTTTTTCCTCCCACCTAATTCAAAATAAAATGAGGCCATGTGAAACAAAACGAAGGATAGCATGGGTTTCAAAAGGACAGCATGGAAAACTCTGTGGCCGGCTCTTTAGCCTATTTCCTTGCAAAGTGAGAGATGTGGGTTCAAACCTGTTTACACACAGGAGGAGCTGAACTCCTGGCTGAGCTCTCCAAATACGGGGATTTGAGGGTGCCCTGACAAAGTGCATTCTGGTAAGGTCTGCTTGAATTTCGTGAGTGAGCTAGAGGAAGAATGCCTGTCGTGTTGCTCAGGCTTAGATACAAGGGCCCTGAATGGATGTGACTTTACTACTTTGGGTTGTGCAGCTAAGCTCGAGGAAGCAACGAGTTGTCCAGAAAGAGTACAGAAGGTCCCTATGGGCTTGTCCTGTTGCTTCTCCATTGTCCCATTTTTTACTGGTGCAAGCAGTTTTTCTCTGTTGCTACTATCATGGTGGAAGAAGCAATCACAAAGTGATGAAATGACAGATAATGGGGAGCTACAATTAATATAAAAAGAAATACAGAAGTAAAACCTTCTGTTAGATGGTTTCCTATTTAATACAACCATGCCTTAAATATTGGGCCACACAAAACCTACAGCATAAATTCCATGGTTGGCTGAGTGAGGGTAGTGCAGCAATGAACACAGCAATGTCCAACTTTCAGATTTTGTGGAACAAGTTTGGAAAGGTACCACAGTCTGACCTGTGACCTGGATCATTACCCATCTTAAAGGGTTTATTTTCTTCCATCTTTTCTGTCTCTGCCCCATAACTATAGCTAGATGATTATTTGAAATAACTGACTTCCTCTTCTCCTCCGGTTTCTGCATAACCAGAGGACAAGCCTTTAAAAAGTTTAGTTTTACTGCCATGCTACGGTGTAGTCCTGAAAACCTGACTCTAAATACTTGGTGTACAAAGAAATCTCTACTGTTTCTTCAAACAAGAGTTTATTTTGATTTGGGATTTGAAACATCAACACTTTTGACTGCAGCAGGGAAGCGTTAGGTTTGCTTGGGTCCCTAAATAAACATTTAGCTTAACTCTAATAGGGAATTCTCTGAATTTGTAGCCCTTTAATCTGGAACAATCTCCAATAAAGCATGATTAAGAGTTAAAGAAGCTATTCATTCACCTTTGCAATCAGTTTTGGGTTGGTTTGGGTTTTTTTTGTTTGTTTGGGGGTTTTTTAATCTGGAAAGTATTTGCAGTCATTTCATTATGGATGTGCAACTATACTGTAATAATTATCATAAGGATGATGAACGATTTCTTGAAAAATTAGTGTATTGCAGTACCATTGGGGAAAAAAATACAATTATTTATCAGTATCAATTGTGTCCTAATGCTTGAAATGATATTTGAGGACCTAGGTGACTTTAAGTTCAATGGTAATTCTTCAATAATACACGGACTAGTCATTTACTAAAGTGAGGTCTCATGAATCTCCTTCAGAAGTAAAGGTCTCTGTCACCTCTTCAGGGTGAAAAACGCAACACACTTTTAATATATTCTAAGTGTCACTCTCACGAGGACATGGCAACTCTAACAACATTTGTGTTATTATTGGGGAAAATGAGAGCTGGACTCTCAGGACAGATCCAGACTGCGAAGGGTGAGCTGTAGAATGACACCAGAATCTGAGTACAGGGCTACGTGTTACTTTTCCTTAAAAAAAAAAAAAAAAAAAAAAAAAAAAAGGCATTTTCTGTGGTTAAGAGATTTCAGTTATAAACTGTATCAAGATTCCAAAAGACAGTGTTGCTCTCAACCAATGTTGACAGATCTTTGGACTTGAAAAGCGGTGTCATGGAAGCGCTAGCAAATAACGACGAAAATATTCTGTTCTCTGCATTTCAATTCTTAAGGTATAAATAAACTCCGTTTGGGTGAATATAGCAAATCCGGGGCTGTATGCATCCACACAACCCAGTCTAACTGCCCAGAACGAGCCGAGGATTGCCTGCCTCGAGATACACAGGTCTCTGGTATCTCGGCGGCGCGGGGCTCAGGTCCCGGGGCACCGCGCACGCTTTTTCGGTGGGAACTGGCAGAAGACCCCCGTCCTGAAAAGGCAACGGAGCGAGCGATGCTTTCCTTCCCCGCGGCGGGGTTAAGAGCTGGGCTGCCAGCCCGCCGAGGGCCGCCGCCCGGGGACCCGCAGGCGCCGGCAGCCTCGCTCGCCCCGCGCCCGGCGGCGGAACTCGCGCGTCGGCCGGCGCGGCGCGGCGTGGCGCGGCGTGGCCGCGGGAAGGTTCACGAAGAGGTATCCGGCTATCCGGCGCCCCCGGGGCGGGTCGCGAGATGCCCCGGCCGGGGTCGCCGCGCCCGGGAGCGGGGCGGCGCGGAGAGGAGCGGGGCGAGCCCGGGCGGGTCCCCGCGGTCGCCACCGCCGCCCGCCCCGCCTTGCGTGGCCCGTGGGAGCGGGCCCGGGTGCCGGAGGCGGCGGGGAGGGCTGGGACGGGGCCCTGGCCAGGGGTTTCTCTCTCCCCCCACCCCCCCCCCCCCCTCCTCCCCTCGCCGCCGGTTGCCGTGAGGCTGCAAGTGCCGCCGCGGCAGCTGGGGGGCCGGCGGGGGACGGGGATGCTGCCGCCGCCCTGCCCAGTGCCGGAGTGAGGGCAGGAGCTGGTGGCGGCAGGAGCAGCCCCGGCGGCGGGACGAGGTGAGCGGGGCGGGTGGGTGGGCGGCCGGGGCCCGGAGCGGGGCCGGGGAGGGCAGCGCTCCCGCCGGGGGCCAGCCCGGCCGCGCTGGGGGCCGGGGGCGGCCGGGGGAAAAGGGACGGAGCGCGGCCCTCGGGGTTCGCCCGGCCGGCGAGGGGAGAGCGCGGCGCCGGGGTCTGGCTTCGGGGGGTGCAGAACCGAGCCCGAGGCGAGGCGGGGCGGCGGGCGAGCCGAGGGCGACGGGGAGCCAGGGGCATTTCAGGCTGAGCCCGGCCGGCCATGCCAAACGCAGACGTAATTCCACGGAGGGACCCCTCCGCCTCCCCTCCCCAAAACTTGGGCAGGGTCGCTTCGGGTACACGTAAGGATCGGGCGAAAGGAAAAATTTCCGTAGAGCTCTGAGGTGTTTTCTCTGGCTGAAGTTATCTAGAAATAATATTGAGAGGAGGAACAGTAATTGGTAACACAACTTTAAAGAGCGACAGGTTGTTTTACTGAAATCTCACGTGCTGGGGAAAAAAAAAAAAAAAAAAAAAAAAAAAGCACCACAAGTGGTTCTGATAGAAAACGGCTAATAGCAGGTGCAAAGCGATTTATAACACAGTTAGGATAAAAGCTCCTAACACTACTCAAAACAGATTTTGCCATATGTCTGGAAAGATATTTTTAAAAGTAATGAATCTGTCCTTAAAATCTTCGTTTTGACTTCTGTGGATACAGGATATGATCCTTAGGATTACTTTCATATGTTTAATTGTTTGAAGTGTTTCCCTTTTTACTGGTGTTTTTCCGACTTGAAACGGGTGGTCCGCTATGCACAGCCCACCTGCTCACTGCCAGGCTCTGTTCCCCAAAACCATCTCCTGTGTCCCTTTGTGTGCAGTCCTGGTGCAAACGGCAATTAACCCTGGCGAACACTCCAGGCTGAACTCAAAGGAATAAGGGAGGTAATGGGCCAGTAGCCCTACATTTCCCAGCCATGTCCAGTGCAGTTACTCCTGTTCGGTCATATGCGTGGGGAAGAATGGCTTTGCAGGCTTTTCCTGATTTCCCCTTCCGAGTAGTGGCTCTATCAGTCAGGACTTTTTTGCCTCCTACTCGAGTTTCACCACCGGGTGTAAATGCAAAGAGGATGTGCTGGGAGGGGCAAGGTCAGAGGAGAATTAGTGAGGCGTTGCTAAGGCTATTTCTCGGGCAGCGTAGTGTCCCTGAAAGTGTTTATGCTAATTGTGGAAATTAGAGCTCTTCACTCCTGTTGATTTAGGCTGGGGCTGGGCAACTGTGGACTCTTTTCACTTACTGTCCTACCCTTCTCACCTCACCACACTGCAGGACTAAACTCTCCTTTCAATGAGAAATGCAAGTTCCAGCCCCGGAGACAGGATCCAGTTCTGTTCCCTGTGCATTCACTGGGGTCTGGTCATTGATCCCAGTGTTGTGAAGTCTGGATCCATACATCTCTTCTAACTGTGAGAGTGGAAAAATTTAGTAGGATGATTATGAGGAATACTTTTGCTGAGGATTACTGTGCAGTGGTGAAGGGATCTCATGGCTGTTCAGATGAAACACTGTTTCAATAACTAGCTTCCGTTTAATTAAATGAAATTGTTGAAGAGTAGATCACTTAAAATCAGATTGATTATGACAGGTTGGTGATGAGAAGGCATACAGAGCATCTTAAAGTAATTTCTTTTGTTCTAGGACATGGCATGGCTGATGTCTTGGGGTCATCTATAAAATTGTTAGGGTGACCCCAACTCTATGCCTAAGTGTGTATCAGATCTCATCACAGTATTTGTCACCAGCCGGAACTACCCATAACCTCTCAAAGTGGCTAGTGATGGAGTGGGTGGCATGCAGGCAAAATTTTGACATAATTCTTAAAGTAGCAATAGAGCAATATTGACCGAGAAGGTTGTACAGTTACCTCCTGTGCTAAACTTTATGGCTTAATGAAAGAATTCTGCTCCCAGGTGTGTCAGCCTGACACCCTTTGCACCATTCTCAAGCCTCAATACTTTCTTGATGTTTGATAAGCTTGTTAGAATTATCTTCTGAAATATAAGCAAAAATGCCAAGTGAGACAGTGGGATCTTTTCAGTCCACTCCCATTATATTTGCATGTTGGTTGCAAACTGTTGCATCTACTGTTGGTTGCAAACAACCTCTTCTGCATAAGTTGATAGGCTTTCTCAGTCACTTATTAACAGCAAGAGTGTGGAATGCTTTACCTGCACTAATTTGTGCCAATGATTGTAAGAACATTATTGACACTTAAGTAGACCGAGAGGGGCATTGACAGAGTGGTGGTACGTTTAGTACCAAAATCTTCTCTGCTGATGTATCAGGGCTAATTCTCTATAAGCACATTTTTTGTTCAGCTGAAGAAGCTAGGATAGCTGAACTGCTTGGCTCACAAAATAAGAGAGATTGTGATCTCTTCATGTGTACGTGAAATGCTAGTGAAGACAATGCAATCTAGTGACTTAATTGTAAAGATGATTCCAGAATCTCTTCTGGGCTTGGATGCTGACCTCTGGCAAAGCATTTCCCTTCAATTTTTCAGTTTCAAAAGTGGGCGTAAGAACCATGCCTCACAAGGGTCTAGTTAGAAATCTCTTGTTTGGAAAGAGGGGATCCCAAAGCACACTGGAATTTCCATGTGAAAGCTTTGTATTGTTGTAAGGTATGGTGACCATATGGGAACAGGCAAAGCAAAGGGGCTCAGAAGTTTCTGATCCTTTTTTCTGCCATTTTCAGGAGGGTTCAACTAACTGTTGTGGTGCATAGGGTCAGACGACCCCTTCTCTATTCTGCAGTCTGCAGGTGGACCTTATAACTAGATCTGCAGTACCTGAAACTAGTTTTCCTGAGGGAAATCCATTTTGGAGTTGAAGGGAAAATTCATGCTACTGAACTTGATACTTGCTATTAAGTTAGTTTGGGGCCCTTGAGACTGGTATATTAACCTGTCTCTGCCTACAGTGCCTGGCAACTGGGACAGAGCCTACTTGGTGCCGAATACTTTGGTGGACAAGATACTGAACACCTGGGTGAGTGTCTGATACGGTTATGGCAGTTAGTAAGTGCCTGGGGTCTGATTTTTGCTTCTGGAAAAATGTGCGTGTTAAATACAGCTGTAATACTGCAGATACAGATAGGCATTATTCTCTTGTGCAGAAAGTGAGGGCTGTAGTTCTAAATCTGGAGGCAGGTTTGAACCATTGCTCCTCGGGACTTGTCACAGTGGAAGTACTCCTGGTTAATGGCGGTGCTTTGCATGCTAACAGTGACCATTCCAACACATTGTACAGGAAATGGGAATTTGTGATGATAGATACAAAGAGAAGAAAAAGACAGAAAAGAAAGAAGGATGGGGAAGGAAAGAGACAGGATCAAGGGTGGCAATAATCCTAGCAAAGTGAACATTTTCCAGTAAGCAGTTCTCAATGTGATGTAAAAAATAACAATTGAAAGTTTTATTTTACTACACAGAGCCCAAATTCTTCCTTTGATCTCTGTCCATGCTTCCTTTTGGCATCTGTGGGAGATCAGTGGAGAGAGGGGAGTGTGTAGTCTTGAATTTATGATGCAGCCTGTGGACAGTCGTGAAATGGAATTTAGTCCTCTCAAAAAATGAGTACATAGCCGTGAGTCAACCAGAAATGTACACTCGTGGTCCTGAAATAAATAAAAATCAGTCTGCTCACAGACATCTCACAACCAAAATAATAGGTAAATTACCTGAATACTCCATTCACTGCAGCTGAACTGTTGGCATCTACTTAAAAAAATTAACTCAGTGTCCATGCTACTGTCTACAGGAATTTCTTACTACACGTGGTTAGTGTAATAGTTTACAGAAATACACTATTTTTGAGACTTTTACCAATATTCAGCATCTAGAAACAGTTATTTCAGCTTAATAAGTTAGGAACACTTTAAGTGACCTCTAATGAGTAACAATAAATTCTGTACAACATTTTCTTAGATCATGGGATCAGTTTAGTAAATTTTGCTAATTAAAATTGCTACTTGAAAATAGCAATATGTGAGCATTAAAAGATAACAGATGCACCAACCTTTCTGAGCAAACCAAATACACAAGAATTCATAGCACTTAATATGATTGATTTCAGGATTTTTCTAAGGTGCTTATCATGAATAATCAACATACAGGTCTATTCATCTACAGAAAGCTCACTTTAACTTGAAAGAGTTTGACATCTGATGCTTCTGTTTGCCTATTGTGCCGCTGCTATAATTGGACACTTGGTATCTTGAATTAAAACATTGGAAAGCTAGGGGCTTTGGGTCTCTTTACATCCATCTTATGAGAAACAGAACATTTAGGAGCAACTCAAAGCAAAATCCAACATTCAAGTGTCACTACAAAGCATCCCTGCTGTAAGAAGCTCCTCCTGCTTTCTGCCTTTCCTCAGCAAGTCCTTCCCGCACCACAACGCTGCTCAGAGCAGCCTGCTGAGTTTTGCAAGCAGTAGGGCAGCTGACTCTTACTGTTACCATTACTTGTCTCCATTTAGGAGGACGTCTCATAAACCAGAATAGTGGTCTACAGTATGCTCTGCAAACAGAGAAGAGAGCTGATCCCTGCCATAAAGTTATAAAGTTGTTTCAGGCAGATTAGGTTAAAGAGATGAAAGACGTTTCATCTCTCCATTTCCTATCATCATCTCCTCAAGGCAGAGCTCAACAGATGTAGTCCGTTTCTCCAAGAAGTACCATCTAACTTACATTTTCTGCTTTCTGTTCTCTGTGTTTTCTTTTTACATTGTAACTTTAATCTTCTTGAAAAGGGGACACTCATTCCTCATTCCCGAGGGCTGGCACCACTGATTAAGCATTTGCTTGTGAAGTTTCTTTGTTTGAGAACTACTTGTGCTAAAGGAGCACCACTGAAGACAAGCTGTTGGAGGAATGTAATGTTATTGGGAGATTTCCTCTGGCCCCATTACTCCTGGATCCTCTAGTACCATCTAGAAGCACCAGGAGGGGATGGGAGCAAACTGACTGTTTCAGGTTATGTGCAACAGATCTGTGTCTCTTATACTGGCTGTTAGCGTCAAAGCATTCAGCAAACTCAGGAGCTCTCCAGAAGCATCCACTCATGGCTGTGTTCACGTGGTCCATTGCACAAAATTCTCCACAGAGGCAAGGCAAAAAAGGAGGTTGAGGTCTGGTGGTGATGGGGTTCATCGGTGAATTTACAGATTAGGGACTGATGTAGCAGATGGGCTGTTCATCCAGTCTTCTACTTAAATTCTTCTTTGAAAAGCCTGAGCTGATCTATAGCTTGTAGACAGTTTTGTTGGCACCCTTCCCTCTTCCCAGAAAGGTTCAGGTACCTTTAAAATATGCAGTGAGTACCATTTCAGGTGCACAGAAGTGTAACACGTAGCCTGCAGCTGCTGCACCCCAGAAGGGCAAGGATCTTTTGCATGTCCTGTGTCACGTCTGCCAGACCGGTGCAGTTCTCTGATATTCCAGCAAGGCACGGTGTAGGCAGGTTTAAATGCCTAGACTAGTGCCTCAATAGTTGGTGCTTGTGGCAGGGATTGCCTCCTTATTCCCATCTTCTTCCACCTTTCACCTCATTGCTGTCTTTGGCACACGCAATGCCCATTTCTTCCCGGTTCTTTGGCGCCACGTGAAACCCTGTTGTGGGAAGCCCTGACTGAATGGGTCCACACGTACCACACTCAGTTTGCTACAGGAGCTGCTTTCAAGATGACCTATTTACCTGTATGTGTTCTAAAATATTTTTAACATATCATAATTGGTACTCACTAGGAACTTCTGCCAAACCCTGAGCAAGCAAGCTGTCCAAGCCCTGCAACAGCAATCCAGTTTCCAGATCTCTCTCTTTGATTACATTTTAGAACATGTTTTACATTTAGCCTTTGAGGAGGAATTTAACTAGGCTGTACCCAGTCCACACCAAGCAGTACACTCTGCACCACACAGTGTTGCAGCTGTTCAGATGCCATTCTTTCTACACAAGTGTTTTGAAAGTATTTTGAATTCTAGAGGTAGTTCCTTCCAGAAGACTTTGTACTGGAAAGACAACAGTCTGCTCAAAAGAGAACTAATCTACGCCACATTTAAGTCCCACAGATATTTTATGTCTTCTGCATAGCCATATATTTTGCCAGACTGTCATACTCTTGCACAAATGATAAAATGTTAAACCCTGCTGATGAGTTTCCTCCATTCAGTGGCCTTCAGTCTCGGGAAAATGCCCAGATTTATGAACTGAGCTGTAATCCTAAATCTTCTGCTGCCTGTATTTATTATTTCAGGGAACCTGCCTACAGTCCTTATCTCACCTTAGGGAGGCAACTGTAATTCTCCAGTTTTATGTATTAGAGATTAAAGGGCCTGGATCCAGTTAGTGAATGATAAACTGGGTGTAAAAGTCTGGTTTCTAAATAACAGAAGTAGGTTCCACCTTTTGCACCAACATGTCCTTTAAATACATTACTCCATATGACACCCTTGTCTAAAGCATTGTAATGAGGATACAAACATTAATATCAACAGTGGTGTGTGAATGTAGGTATAAATGTATAGGCATGAACTCTTGATATGATTTAGACTTCTGTTTTTAACAAACATACCTATAGCAGATTATGCTTATTTTACTTACTGGAACAGTCTTAGGTTGAATAACTGTAACAGCTAGCTAAGGTATGATTACTGCTGCTGCCATTTCTCAGGAAGCAGTGTTTGCACAGTTAATGGTCTCTGATGTGCCATGTCCATTTTCATGGACTTTTGCATACCTAGGCCTCATAACGCAGCTGTCAATCAGAAAGCTCTGCTTAATCTTAAACAGAAGCCTTTCTCCTCCCTCCTCCACAGTTAGATCAGAGCGAGTACTTTGAATATGCTGCCTGGGAGCTTTCAGTTGAGAGCTTTGAGCAGTGTCTCTGAAGTGCAGGAGGCACAGTGTCAATATGCTGGCTTGCAGAGATGAGATCTCAGTCCTCCAGGCTTAAACTGGATGACATTTTAGAGGGTGGAAAAATCTCTGGGTCTGAAGCGGGTGATGAATATCTCAAGAACCTTCAAGGACCTGAGCTTTAATTCCTCAGTGTTAATAACGGCAATCCCTTCGTCTTCTGGAGTGTCTGCAGCATTTACTGGTTTTGTTTCACTCTACTTAAGCATTGAAGTTTTGGGTCACAGCCATGAGAGCTGGAAATGTTTAGTTTTAGTTGAAAACTGAGGTTCAAATGAAACCAAACAGTCCCTGATCACCCTGAAGTCATAGGTACATTCTTGCTGAGTTTGTGTTCTGGCCGGGGGGTGCACCATTAACATTGTGGCTGGAATCTCACACAGGCAGGATCTGTCGCCATACATTGGAAAGAGCCAGAATAAAGCAGATTACGTTTCGGGGAGGGTTTTTTACTGTAGTTATTTTCATTGCTTCCATAGTGTCTGTTTCAGTTTTCAGTTGGGGCAGTGAAGGAAGAGCAACAAAAACTGGACACAAGGCACTCTTAATGTGAAGGAGTTCTCTACAACTAGAAGTATCCGTATGTACTAGTTGGTGGCATAGGTGAAACGCGTGCAGAGAAGTGCAATGGTTCTTCTCGTTGGGCTTCCCATGTGCAGTGATAGAGCTGAAGGTGTTCAGGCAGGGGCCTGGATCTAGCCATTTTTCAGGTGTTTGTCAAACGGGGATTGCTCTAGCTGATGTAGGACGTGTCGGACATTACACCATCAGCATTGGGTGAGGTAGCTGGCAGCACGGTGCGGTGCGAGATGCTGCAGTGGTAGCACCGAAGCCAGCAGTAGTGAGAGTGTCCGGAGGAGATGTGGGGGACCCGGCAAGCGGTGGGGTGGGAGTTGAGGCAGACACAGCGCTGGCACTGCTCCTCTCCTACAGACCTGCCTAAGTGAAATGTAGGAGGAACACTGTCCTGTGCGTGGCTGTGGGGGTGAACAGGGACAATGAGGTGAAACAAGGGACCGCAGGTCCGAGTGTTCCCCATCTGTTAGTTGTCTGAGGATGACCTGCTTTTCC